GCTGTTTCCGTCAAATTTCAGCACGATTTTACGGCTTTTGACCATCACTTTAAAAAAGGTAGACAAACAAGTGGAAAACTAGCTGGCTGGTATTTATGTATACAAATTTCCGTTAATCAGACTCGATTTTATAGAATAAAAGGTTTCTGTAATCGCGAGACTTTCTGCTAAGTATTTTAAAAGCTATCAAATCTCTGAATAAAATGGGAATATTACGCCAGACGTTTCAGTACGCGGATATTTTTCACTTCCTATTTTTTTAAAACTAAATTTCAACGTGTTTTGGTGACTCGAAGTTATTGTAAGTTAGTAGGCCACGTTTTTTGTCCCTAAACCATTTAATAAAGGCCAAGGATTGCTGTTTGTGTCTTAAATTCCACTCGATAAAGGAAGTTCGGCAACCCAAATGTAGTCGCAGTTAAACGTTGGGTTTCAAAACCAAGTGAGAATTTCCACATCCAATTTCCATTGCTTAAAAATTTTGTTGGAAATTCGGTCACTCTTGTGGACCTTATCGGAAAATTAGTCTCTGGCATCTATATACTGTCCCGAGGTATAGGGTAATATGAGGTGTTAGAAGTTTACTATGGGTTTTCTGAAGCTATTAACCACGGACTGTAACAGACCATATTCTGCAGGTTAGTATGCTTACAACGTTTTGTAATACTTTTAGCTATTCTGCGAGACCAAAAAATTGAACATTCAGTGAAGTTTTGGCTCTTATTTTATTTATCGTCAGAAAAGTTAACTATTTATAGATTCAACTCCATAATTAAGATGTAGTACCTGATTTAAGGGATACGGTTATTGCTTTTAAAATATGATTATATGAATGTAAGCAGCATCAATCACACTCATCATTGTTATCGCAAAACGTAAAATCTACTGATTGTTAAACTGTTGAATGTAAAATTAATGACATATAAAAGCGAGGCTATGATGTAAAAGGGTTCATCTGATTCATTCTTATTGTTAAATACCAGAATCTCACTTTCAATAGTCAATCCATGACCATTGCATTACTTAGTTCCTACAACTCGAATTTTGTCCGGAGAATTTTACGGATTCAAGCAAAACTTTAATGGTATTCATTTAAAACAAAAACGAAAATGATTGGTATGTCAGATAAAAACTCACGTAGCAGGTTGAAAAACCTAGGAATATGTAGTTTCTAGAGTGTTGCCTTTCCACCTTTTGGCGATAGGCGACCCACCAGATAAATAATTAATTCTACTTTATTTTGGTTCCACTAAAATCGATATTTTCATGACTTCAAAAGTGATTGGTTCCTGAGTCCCAAGTCTCAGTAAGAAGACATGCATCGTAGATTTAATTCTGAGTTAGCAAAATATAAGTAAAGTTTTTATGATCATTCATAATACCTGTTTATTTTACATTTTTTTATGCTTTACGTTTTCTTCCGATTTTCTTCACTTGATTGCGTTTTGCTCATATGCGCTGTAATGTTTGTAGCTTTGGATTAGTTCACATACTGTATTCTTGTGACTCCCTTTTCTGTCTGTACTTGACATTTATCGATGCAATGAGACTCTTCATATAGATTAGTTTTCCATCCTAGCCTCATCCGTTGAGTTTGTATAATTCGAGCTTTAATCGGTAAAGCTTTTTGTGAATCTGGAATAAATATGATAAATATCCATCATAAGGAGTATTTTACGAATGTGTTGACTAAGTGCATCTAAACAAAACTTTGGAGTGTTTGCTAAGATAATATAAAAGTGATGTGTAACTCTACACATCCCTGAATTATGATAAGTTCTTATAATATTTTTCAGAATACAACGTGTCAAGCTGAACGTCAAAAAATAAAAATTTTTCTGTTATTGACCATTTCATTGTGATCCTGGTCATATTTTACAGATTACTAAATTATGGAGGATACTGAATGCCAGTCATATTTGTACCTTCAATTTGTTTTAAAGCAGTTCAATCTTTTTATATCCATTATAACAATCCATATATCGCTTTATAACAAAATGTACATCTGTATTTATAAACTTTCTTTACACCACGATGTTATTTTATTGAAGAAATTCTGTGTTTTTTGTTACTAGTTTAGCGAATCATGTGATAAGTTAGCTGCCTGTAAACTCACGTTAGATCATGTCAATCAGTGTATTGAGGCCATTCAAATCAGTCTTCCAATATTAGAACAATATTCATCCGCATTGAGCAAAGTATTGCTGATGGAAGGTATTACCATGCCTTGAAAAATCTTGAAGACCTAGAACATTCACAACTGGATTTAATTCGCCCGTTCGCCTTCTCCGAAATCATCATTCATCGCATACCAAAAAACAAGAGCGGGAATTAAGGTTTGTCTAGTCTGTATAATAATCCTAGAGTTTTGATTTAGGATCTTTAGTAATTCTTGTTGATATTGCTGACACTCCCGAATCCCCCTGCTACGGCCGAGATTTAGGAAAGTCCACTTCCTCTTTCGAAATGTCCTCATAATTGCCATGCGCACATTGCCACTATCACGGATGTCCTACCCACTGCTTTCGCCTGGCACTCGGTGTTGTTTGAGGAATTGCCAGGAAAAAAAGCGACTGTCTGGGTTGGTGGGTACGAAGCATCCACCTAGGGGAGTCGGAAAACCCTTATTTCGAAGCAATGTTGCGCATGGACTCCAGGATCCTGACGGAACGAATGGCATATGAACCTATTGTGATCATTGGCTAGCACGGGACATCAACTCCTGACGTTACTTTATTGCTTTGTGGATTAAACCTCTAGGTAAAAGCCTTAGGGAGTAGCCTCCTAAGAAAACTACTTGCTTTGGTTTGGATACCCCGAAACTATTCCAGCTGACACAAATTTATTTACTGATCTACTTGGCACATAAATATTTAGGTGCCCCTTTGTACAAATATCTATATGTTTGTATAAAAAAATAGTAGTGACAAATTACTTTATACAATATGTTCATTGAATTTATTGTATAAATACTGAATACTGTGTGTGCTTACTTTCATGTTATATATTTTATTATTGTTGCATACATATTTGTTTGGTTATGATATTTTCTCCTGCCACTAGCTGATATCTTATGATCACAATTCGATTAGGCACTATGTGTGAATTCATTGGTGCTTGGCATAGTACCTGACATCGTTATCATGGACATAAAATAAAGTGCCTTGTTTTTTTCTCCTAGAATCCATATATTTGAATATCATGATGAACTTGTATGTGATCTATTAGTCTGACAAATATCATAGTCGGTTAATTCATATATAACTTCAAATATATATCCCTTACTCCAAATACACCTAAAAAACTATGGTGTTGTATATAGATGTTTGTCATAATCGTTAGAGATCTGTTGGTCAGTACTTAAAATCTGCTTTTGGACAGCGTTAAAAAAAATAAATTAACCAAAAGATTGTTCATCAAATGTTCACATCAGTTGAATAATAATTAAAAGTAGAAACAAATTTAAAACTGTAATCTCCAACTATAACAAAAATCAGCCAGCTTGTCATCTGCAACGTAGAACTTCGTACGTACATACATCAGTTCAAGTTGGGTTTTTTAATGAGTTAGTTTTTTGCTCGATGGGGTCGCCAACCCTAATCCCAACTCTCCTCATTTATCCGGGATTGAGACCGGCAGTAGCCCCGAAGGGTCTGCAGGCGGAGTAGTGAAGAAGTAAAACTTCATCAGTTGAGGTGGTTGGGACATGTGTTACATATGCCTAACCACCGAATGCCTTGTCAAGCTATGTTTTGAGGTGTAGAGATAGGTTGGGAGAAAGCTAGTGGCGGCCAAACCAAAACATGGCAAAAATCCATGAAATCACTGACAAGTGGCGTGAGTCATATTGGTAGGTGTCGACTACCACCTGGTTGGGGTCCGTGAGATGATAGTAATCGATAGTTTGAGATCTTGAACTACATGGCTGAAAGCCGTTTTCAATGTCACCGGTGCATTCATTCTTTGTGTGCTCTCAAATCCTAACCTTCAGAGTTCCTCATCACCTTTATCTTTTTATTTCTAAGTTTATTTCACTAGATTCTACTTCTTGCATAATATCCTCCAACCCTAATTTCTCCGATTACTGCTAATTCTTCTACTAACTTTACTACTATGGATTTGAATTGATAATTGCGTTTCTGTGTTAATGTGGTATGGTATTTTGAACTGATGTACGTACTTTCGAAGTTCTATGTTGCTGTTTGATTGATTGAGTTCAAGTTTCCGTACCGCATTACCGCAGAGAAATGCTATCATCCGTAGACGTTGTCGAAGTAATAACAGTAATGGAAGAGATTCTGGTTTGAAGATATATTTCGAGAATCATATTGTAATGCAATAAATTTAGACGAGTATAAAAGCTCACGAGGAATTTAGAATACTAGAATTTGTGACAAGATAAAAAAATGGATGCATCTGCTCCATCGGAAAATGATTTTAAGCTATGCCGCTCAAAGCCTCTAACCACCTGTTGCAATTATCAAGCGAACACCCCAAAGAAAATGGTCTACACCTACTAACATGGCAACAAAAGTAGTTTAAAAATTGGGATGAACTATATGTTTGTTATTTATCGTAGCAAAAATACTTCAATCCACGTGATTTATTCATTGATGAGAGTAGTTATTTACAGCTTTATGGTTTAAGGATAAAGGCTTCAGATATCGAACCAATAAGAAACTATATATATATATATATATATATATATATATATATATAGGGAGAGTAAGAATATAGTGAAAAGCTTTAAGTTAACTTATTTAACTCAGAGAAAAGTAAAGCCCTGATGTATATTATCCATCTGTATAAACCAAGTTTAAATACAGTGTTGAAGATTTTCCAAGTCTCTTTTTCTCTATATACATATGAGTTACAGAGATTTGTGCTGAGCGAGCAAAACACTGCCATAAGATGAATAGTTATTTCCTTTTTTTTTTTAAAAAAACACCTTTCAGAATTAAAACAATAGTTTAACAGTTCTTCATTCTTCATTTCATTAGAATGCAAGTCTTGGTGAATTAACTGATTTTCTTGAATACATACGGAAAAATTCAATAATTCTTGGTGCATTTGCTATGCGAGAAGCAGCACAATCATCTGGAATAGATAGTGAAGCGCTATGTGATACTTTGGCAGTTAATGGATACAAAGAAACACAGAACATAAATAAAAAATCAAACAAAGAATCACAACAACAAGTGACATTGAAATCTATTGTTCAGAAAGGATCCGGTTAGTAATGTACATTTAAGCTTTTTATTTGTATATACTATAATTTGTTTCATAGTAGAGTATAGGTTCTGATAATGTTGGTCGAGAACAATAATTGAATGCTTGAAATAAAATTTCTTACTCTTGATAACATCTCTTCTACAGAAACATATTCATCACTGTGAATCAGATTTAAAACATTATTGTTATTTGTATGACATTTTTATAGAGTAAAAATAATAAAACTCTACATTTTATATAATTTTGTCTTAAATGAGCACAATATTACGGCATTCAACTTCCGATCTCATTACATTCAGGCTAAGTATTGTTTCTTTCTCTTGAAAAAAAGTACAGTTCCTTATTACTTTAAATAAACCTCAAGACCAAGCCTGATAAACTTGCACTTAATAACTGAATTACACTAATTCATCTAAATAGTTCAATTTACACATGTTCATCACATTGAATTCTGTGTATGAAAAAGGAAAGTATATTCCCATAAAGAGTTTATTGTATAGATTGTATAGTTTCATTATTCTTAATGATGTTATTGATTGCTTACTGTTTTATTAATTGTATATATATATATGCACCATTGCGTATTATTGATTCACTGATCATCATCTGTTTTCTCTTTTTATCACAGTTAATTTAAATACAGATAGTTTAGATAATGAATTAGAAATGTTAACTCAAATTGTTACAAATGCAAATAATTCATGCCTTACTAATGCAGATGATGATGATGATAAGGTGGACAATCATGTTGACGTTGACGGTGATCATAACAATGATAATCGTCAAACAGTAATCAAATCACATACTCCATTAAACATGGATGATGATGATGATAATATTAATAATAATAATAATAATGATTGTTTTAATAAAACATTTTCAAAAGTAGAAGATTTAGTCGATTTTGGACCAGTTTATCGATGTTTGCATATTCATTCTGTATTGAATGAACGAGCTGAATTTGAACGACATTATTGTGCTCAACGACGTAAACAATGTCAATTAATTTTGAGTTTATCACCAAATCAACAAGTAAGTCATTTTGTTATCATATTCACTTGATAATTATAACAAGTAATATTATAATGATTTATTTTAGTATATATATTGATTAAGTTAAAAAAGAATAATTACTTCAAAGAAGGATTAAAGAAAAAAAGGAATACTCTTCATTTTTTTTGTAGTCGTTCAAGTGTATTTATTTAATTTATTTTATATATATATATATACAATTGATTGATCTTCAAGTGCTGTTACGGCTATGAGGGCGGTTGTCACTTTCCGACTGCTCACACCGTGCAAGGGTGTTTCTTGATGAACCTGAAAAGGAAGGTAGATTAGTATTGGTCTTAGAGACCTGGGTGCTTGACCGTAGAACCCAAGGGACAACTGCTTGAGGCCAGTCATGCACGGCCTTTTGATGAAAAGTTTTTTTAGTATGAGCTCCGCTCTTAAAAGCCCTTAGTGAGTACCCTTACCTCCGGAGACGGAAATCCGTGAGGTAGGGTGAGGTGTGACATTTTTAGGGCCGACCTTTTCTAACCCTTCCTTCCTTGTGAGAAGGCAGTATCGCTGCAGATGCTGGTTGTCCGAGGGAAACACCTTACTGCTGTCACACCCCTCTGCAGTCAGCAGTACGACTTCGCCCTCAGACCTTGGGTAGCTGCTTTTAGTCTCATCGTTCTCCAATCGACCAGCCTGGCATGGTAGAACCTTGAGGAACATATGTTCCAGCCAGTATAGTTCGGTTGGGTCATCACGATAGGCAAGCCCGACCACCACGTCAAGGTAGCAGCTACGATCGGGGATCTTCAAGTAGTGATCAATGTTATATATATCAAATTCTTCTCAGTTGTTGATCTGCCAAAAACATCAGTTCTCTAGATGATATAACATTTAAAGTTTCTTGTTGACTACTACCTTCAACCAATCATGTAACATGTGCATTGGATTCATATTTTTCAGAAATTCTCCTTTACAAAGTTTTCTTATTACAAACTATGTCGTCCGATTACAAATGACTGCATCTTAATCAATGTAAAAAATTGTGTTAATAAACTTTGTCTGTTGTATGGTTGCATATTTTGTCATGCTTTTTTTTTATTCATTTTGATTCATTTTTCTTATGTTTAAACTCTTATAGATGGTGGTTTGTATTATTTTTTCTCATTCTCTACTTTTCTTGTCATTTTTTCCCTTCATTTTAATAATAACGTGGAATAGCACAACTTGAACCGATGTACATTCATCCCAATTTGTGAATTACACCTCCTGTAGTGATTGATTGATATGCTCTAACAATTTAGTATGGCCTTCTCATTTATTTAAAGTACATTATTTCAATGTTCGTAGTGAATATTTACAAATATTTCAAATATATACAAAGCTTTCAAGTTCATTCCAATCTGTAAATCAGTTGATAAATTTATGAATTTTTATCAGTTGAAGTAGTTAAAATGTATATTATATTTCACTAAGCATTGTTTACTTTCGACGACAATGTTAGTTAACTAGTATAGAAGTAGATTGGAATAAAACTGAACAAAAAAGCTTAATATTAGTCTATGAAGTTATAGACTCATGCGCTTAGCTGTTTTAATGGATGCAAACGATCTGACTCTGATCCACACGATAATTTCGATGATCGTTGGCTGAAAACCTTATTTTATTTGACATGGCTCAGAATCAGTCACAATAGCACGAATCTACCTAACTATTTTTTATCACTGCACATCTTTAATCCTAGTATTTCTTTTGAAACCTTCTTGTTTTGTATTTTTCAAACGATATCCTTATTGTGTAATCTTCTTTATTATCATTCTCTTATTATTCATCTTGTCCATCATTCTATATCATTTTGCTAATTTAGTATGGCCGCTAAAGGCTATCGATGTAGCTTTATAAAGGTCCTAATTTTGGATTTTATTCATGGGCTGATCAGTTGACCTTGAGATATTACATTTCCCACTGGAAAAATCATTGACTGTCACTGTTTGATATATTATTTTAGTACGCTATTTTTGTGGCTCTCCCAAGGACTTTTCTATCATGTATAAATAAAATCTCATCTACAGTCCCCATCATCATCAACATCACTGTTTAAACATAAATATAATCTCTTGGCTTAGTTAGATCTTCTTATCATGCTATTACGATTATTTTTTTTAGTAAAAAGCTGTTAAAAGTTTTTTCCTCAACATATATATCTATATAGCCTAATGATTTACTGAGAATTAATCAACTTAAGGTCACTTATTGGTACTGTATGTATGTGTACTCACTTCATTGGTTATTGTAAATTAAAATACTAATCAACACTAGCATATGCATCTTGTATTGTTTTATGAAGAATAGTTTAGAATGCATCACATGTATAAGAAATAACAACCATATTACACTTGAGAAAGTGAAATTAGTCTATAAGCAAACAAAAACAGAGTCCAATCCAATTCACATGTATAAAATACATCAGTATTAATTTCAAGGATGAGTTTGTTTTCTTTCAAGTACTTTATTCTCAAAAAGAAATATATCATATTGTATAATGCAGATGATTGTAAGTTTTTCACCTCCATCATAGAATGATGATGCTGATGACTATCAGATGCCTAGTGAATCATATATATATATATATACTTAAACATAGCCAAGTGTTATTGTTTATGCAGACAAGTGATAATGTTTCATACTAGAACGAGAGCCTTTAGCACCGCAAACCCAATGGAGATGGAACTCAAAACTTTCGAGTCTATTGGTAAACTCTTGATCATTAAAAGCACTGAGTTAGTTGTTCATTTTCACGATTGCGACTACACTCAATATGCGACATAGATCGGTGCTAATCCCGTGCTACTAATGATAATTGTTTCACCTCCTACATGTCTATACTATACGATTTACAAGAGCTAGCTAAATGTTTAGTAGTAAGTTACAAGGGAGTCCTTAATGATAAATTAGTTGGGGTTAATGTAGTTCATAGGTCTTATTCGTCATGGATTGATCCCAGCTAGCACACCCCTGAAAACAAAAATTTATTTGTGCTTTCATAACCTTCATATGGAAGAGCTTACTGTATCATGGCTAATCTATAGATGACAGTATATTTTCAAAGCCATTTTTTGTTTTCGTATACTTAGTCTTTCCCACCGATGCTGCTGCTACTGTGAGGTGTATTTTGAAATGATATTATGTGATTGGGCTAATGCTGTATGGCTAGTTGACTGGATGCACATGTCAGGTTGTATGTTGCGTACGACTGATTGATTAACTGACACTGAACTAACAGATACGTATGATGTGGATTGTAGATGATAAAATTGACCAACATAAAAGTTCAACATTTTAAATCATGAATCGATCAAAGTTAGACTACCATTAGAAACCTCGAAGCATTGAACGGCCGTTTCGTCCTGGTATGTGACTCATCATCAGTGCACATCCACCCCGTAATACAATTACCTGTGGTCACTAGTGACTAGCTCCGTGAGGAATCTTCTCCGAGTTCTAGTGGGAAGTCGTGACCAGTGAAGTTCAACCTGTTCGGTTGTAGACAGTAACTACCGAAGACAGTGTGTGGGGTTTCGCAACTCCGTGAATCGATTGAAGTTAGACATTAACACCGTTAGATACCGGCTCAGTGGTCCAGAGGTTAGGCGTTCGCGCGCAAGACCGAAGGTCCTGGGTTCGGATCCTGTAAGGTGCAGGAATTGTAGATGCGCACTACTGATGAGTTTACTTTATGATTTTAAGATGGAATAATCTGTTACGAACATAGAAAATTTCAAAATTCATCTTAAAGATCTACTTACATTTGGACTTTATTGTATTGCTTAGTGAAAAACGCAATGCATCATAGTAGTGTCAGCCAACTTTACCTACTTTCACCCTTTCTCCTTCTCCTGTTGGTCGACTGGATATTGAATACATCAACATCTCTGGCGTGGAAATAGGATACAGTGGACAGCTGTGATGCATCTGGACTATCTTGGCTTCTCAAATGATCTAGGTCTTTTATCCCACTCACAACAACAATTGCAAGATATGATCGGTGTAGTAGGAGCCTCAAATGCATTTGGTCTCAACCTACACAAAGGGAAAAGCAACATGCACCGACCCTATCACACCTGATGGGGAAGCTTTGGAAGATGTAAAAGCCTTTACATATTTAGGCGGCGAAATTGATGAGCAAGGTGGATCTGACGCAGTCGTAAAGGCGAGAATCGGCAAAGCAAGTGTGCCATTTCTACAATTGAAGAATATCTGCAACTCAAAACAACTATGAACCAACCTAAGGTCAGAATTTTCAATACAAATGTCAAGACAGTATGGGGCGGAAACTTGGTGAACTAACAAAACCATCGTCCAGAAGATAAAAGTGTTTATTAACAGTTGTCTACTCAAAATACTTCGGATCCGTTGACCAGACATCGTCAGCAACAACCAAATTTCAGCCGAGGAAGAAATTAAGAAAAAGCGTTGGAGGTGGATGGAACACTCAATCAGGAAAGCACCTAACTGCTCCACAAGACATGCCCCTACTTAGAATTCTCATGTCCAAATGAAAAGAGGAGGACGAAGGGACACATCATGTCAATATTTGGAAGCAGACACGAAAAGAATGAACAGCAATTGGATATAACTGGAAAAGAAGGCTCAAGACAAGGTAGATTGGAGAATGCTAGTTGGCGGCCTATGCTCCATTGGGGGTAACAGGCGTAAGTAAGTAATTATGCAAAACTCAACTTTCTAGTTTTTGCCATTTTTCTTCAGCTTATTATATCTCACTGTTTTAAATTTTCATTTCGTTAGTGGCTCTCTTGATTATTAAAGATACTATATACTTGCAACTAGACTATTTTAAAATGGTCTTGTTACTGTAATTTATCTATGTTAGCTTATAATGATATTCACTAAAAATAGATAGATAATTCATACAAGGACTTAGTCGGTTTTTTTTATCTTCTGTGCATTACATTAGTTTACTGTTCTGTTAAATAATTAAAGATCAACTTCAAGTCAATTATTCTGTACAA